TCATAAACATGAATTAAATCCATGTATTGGGCTTTGTAGGCCCATCTAACCTAACTTAGGGATATTTCGTTGGCCCATTTACACATTAATTAGGCCCAGTCCATTATTTTTTAAATTTTAATTTAAGTTATTTAATTATTTAATTATAGTTATTTCTTAGCTTCTTCTTCACGCAACCTTCTTTAACGGCTATATTTTGCCGTCTCTTTTATAAATAGCTTCTCTCCCATTTCTCTTTCTGAGGTCTGGCTGTGTCTCTCTTCTCTCGCTGCAGAGTCATGAGTTTGTTCTTAGGGTTTAGTTTCTTTTCCATCTTCAATCTTGGCTGAACTTCCAAGTTTCTTTTGATAAGAGGCCGGGCGGGCAGCGAGCTATGGGCTTTGAAGAGTAGTAACAACATCCAGATTTTTCTGGATTCGGTTAGGGTTTTGGTTTTTTCCAATTTTAGGTTTGATTTTCTTAGAATGCGTTTGACGAGCAGTAACAACATCCAGATTTTTCTGAATTCGGTTGGGGTTTTGTTTTTTTTTTCTTCCAATTTTAGGTTTGATTTTCTTAGAATGCGTCGAATTGAAACAATCCGGAGTCGAGTTCGTGCTCTCCGTTCGTCGGTCTAGATTTCGATTTCCCTCCTTTCTGTTCGGAAATTTGTCTGCGAAAATCCGATTAGGTTTTGGTTTTCCTTCTCTGTTTGCAAAATCATCCGGTTGTTTTGATGTCGATTCGGTATTGATTTTTCAAAATTGTCCTGTTTTTTAGGTTTTCGCTTTTCCTTCTCTTTCAGGTGGGTTCGGTTTTTATTTTTCAATCATCTGCTTGCAAAATCATCCGGTTGTTTTGATGTCGATTCGGTATTGATTTTTCAAAATTGTCCTGTTTTTTAGGTTTTCGCTTTTCCTTCTCTTTCAGGTGGGTTCGGTTTTTATTTTTCAATCATCTCCTTGCAAAATCGTCCTGTTTTTTCTTAATTAAACTGCCACTGCCAAATAATACCGATTATCGTGTTCAATGGACTGTTTTTCTTGTCTCATGTGGTTCATGTAAGCTAGTTTATACTTGAAAAGTTTTACATCGATCTTGGAGTTTTATCGCTAGTTTGTCGTTTGATCTCTTATTTTATTTAGTATTTTCTGTTGTGATTTTTCTTAATGTGCCGCCACATTGTTGAAATGTTGCTGGAGATCTTAGTCCTTACATGAGCGTTCTCTTCTTTATTATGCTGTAGTCGTTTACATCGATATGCTGAATGCTTCATATTTTGAACACTATATCTGCTACATTAAGGACTTCTCTGGAAATTGATTGAGGATTGATGATCGTAAGGTTGGTCCGTCTCTCCTCCCACTGTTGCGTACACAGACACAACAAATGCTTCCTGCGCTTATTATGGTTATTCATATCCCTTGTTATTACCAGAATTATATTTGACATAGATGCGCGTATATGAGCTAACTTTAGGAGGCGATGATTGAAAATTGTAATCCTCATTGTTTACAATTCTCAATATATTTGTGAGGTCCATATAGGTAAAGTACTTTTTTTTTTTTTTTTTTTTTTTTTTTTTTTTTTTTTTTTTTTTTTTTTTTTTTTTTTTTTT